CAATCACACAGCGTATTGCAGTAGATTTCGATCTCCTGCCTGCTGAACAGGAAATGCGTGGGACGTGCGGGTGGGTCTTCTTCAGGGCCTCAACTGGTGATTATAGCCAGCCCTCAATTAACTACTACGGATGGACCGTTAAAGGGCATGTTCCGCATTCGAAGTCCGCAGCCTGCACCGCGCGTTGCGCATTTGAAGTCCGCAGCCTGCAACCCGTTTCCTTCCGCATTTGAAAGCCGCAGCCTGCACCCCGTGTTCCGCATTTGAGGTCCGCAGCTCGCACCCCGCGTGGCGTCCACCCGGCCAGGGGTTACCGTGGCAGCCTTTATCAGTCGCGTACATCAGCTTACACTCTTTGCTCTCGAAGTCATGCGTCGCAAGTCACATTACATCGACCCTGTGCGATTACCGAGCCGGGTTTCGACGAGCGGTGCCAAACAAAGTGCTAATGGTGCCCGACGACAGGATCTCTGGCCGAGACAGGCCGAGCAAGCGCATCATAATAAGACTGTAGCTGTCTGTTTAGTTGAGAAGAATTCCAACTCCGTAAGATTAAGAAAAAGTAGGTAAAATTGGGGGAGAAACCTTTTTTGTGCATTTAATGCGAGGTTTTCCGGTGCGGCCTCAAGCCTGTTATCATTTCCTTTAAAGGGATTGTTTCAAATTTGAAGATTCTCGAGCAAACATCAGATATGATGAAATAAACTCACAACTATTGATATGCTTTTAAGTGGAAAAGCCTGTTCTGGATAACACAATACCTCTGTAAGCAGAAAGCAGTTTATTTGATATGCTTCTCAATGCGTCATTATTTGGCTACATTATCGTACCTTGCATAACAATGAAGGCCAATTGACAGCCCTTATATCTTGAAATCGTGCTTAAGAACGACAAATATGAAATGCTTGTCAATTACATTTGTATTTGCCTTGATCACCATATGGCTAATGAAATGACAGGATTTGAATGGCCTTATTATGGTGTCATGGACTCCTGGGTAACCTTTAAATGGTCTCCCTGAAATATCATGCACATTGGGATTGTGGCTCAGAAAATACACGGGTAAGGTCTGAGAATGTGAGGGCTGTGAACTGCATCAAATAGCCTTTAAGGTGACTATTTCAGCTCAAAACCGCATATTGATATGAAACACTCGCTTCAACGCTCTGACGTTATTTTGACCGGACCAGCCAAGGCTAAGAATTCCGAAATTCTTCTATATGGATCTTCTATACTTCTATATCTATCCGAATTCTTCTAATTCTTCTACCTGTATCCCATATTTTTAATTACGTTCTGACTTACACCAAACTTTCGCGAGCCGCTTTGGCAAAATCATCTTATTTTGTCGTTTGAAATAGGGTAATGTGGTCTGTGAAGTTAGGCTTAAGGTCGCTAAATAACATGAACACTTTTGGGCTTCTCTGGCACACCCGAGCTTCAAAGCTATCCAAATGATTTTCACGAAACCTTTACAGATTGATCCCGTACAGTTATGTTTCCAAATATGGTGGCCTCGAATCAGGTGACGGGTTATGACGGTTACCAAATGACCCGTACAAGGTGGCCCACTCCATTGTCTGGCGTAACGAAAGTGAGGGGACAACGCAGACAGCGCAGGCAAGCTGCAAAGTAGTGAATGTAGGCAAATTGGCGCGATATCTGAAACGTGCATTTTCAGCCAGGCTTGGATGTGTGTGTGAGAGTTTATTTGTTTGTGTGGTTGAGTACAGCTTCTACCAGCTGGGTAATCAGCTGTGCGATAAGGCTAACCATTAGTCCGAATGTCGGGCCGGGCCCAGTGACAGACGAACAGCACATAGTGAATGGTGGTGCTTCAGTTGTATTGGTGTTTTTAGTTTCCGGCGACGTCACCAAGCACAGAGCTCAAAAGTGATAGTGTTCCAGTCTTTATGACATTATGTGGGTCTGTGTGTCGCTGTTACCAAGTGATCAGATAAGGTCTGTAATCGAGGTCCACGCTCAGGGCACCCTGCTAGCTTCAGCTTCTTCTTTTCTTCCGATGTAAATTCTTTGTGCACGCCTGATTTTGCACCCTGAGTTAAACGTATTTATTTCTCTCCGTAGCTCGGTTTTTCTTTTGCGTTGGGCCATGGCAGCAGATATTTCAGCACGCAGCTGCCGTTTCCGTTGCGATGCACGGAACTTAAGGTATTATCACTTCAAAGCCCCGACACTGAGTTTACGACCTTCAATGCACCAGGGGGAGGCGGACCGGTTTAACGATGTTATAGCGCTAAACAATTATTATATTGGCGGCACTCAGTACTTTAAGTTGTGCTAATCCTCAAGATGACTGAGGATGGGCACAGCTTCAAATATTAAGTACCACCAATTTGATCGTTGTGTAGCACTTTAACGTATCTTAAGCAGCACCTCCTGGTATCTTGAAGGTCGCCGACTCAGCATAAGGACTTAGAATTCGCAATGCCGGAAAATTAGAAGCTGGCGCGTTCTTTCCCACAGCAAGAACCCAACTAAAGCCGAAAATCAAGGGAGCATAATTCGGAATCACGTCTCTGGGGCATCGAACCCCTGTGCTGTAGAACGGATGGATTTCATCTCATTTGCTTGGAATTATTAGCGCGGAGTTGGGTCGGAACTCGAGGCACTATATGACCTCGGCTCGAACTCATACACATAAAAACTAAGAGGTTCTGACGCGGGCACATGCGATGAGAAGGGCTCTGGACTCAGGCTCTGATTCGCTATACCAGGGCCTGGATGGAGGCTTGAACTCAGACGTTTTGCTCGAATACATATTTGTATTATCCTTCATAACCACTCAAAGCTCCAACAATGCCCAGTGCACAACTGACGCAGGCCTCTTACCTTTAACATGATGAACTAGCTTCAACGGCTCTCGAGCCATTTGTGATTCGGAAAACAGGACGTCTCCACGGACTCGCCACGCAAACTGAATGTGGGAGATCGGTGGCGGACCGTGCGGTGCGGTCGGATTTATGTCAGGCTTGACACATGTGAAAACATTGAGATATCAGAATCACTATTATTTATCAGCGGCAAGCCAGGCCAACTTATGGTATAACGCTTGGTCAAGCAAACAAGGTAGTCATACGGTTGCAAGATTTATCTTCGGCCGCTAGCTGCAGGAGGTTTTGACGGGCAACTTACACGTTGAGAAAACTGCATGTTTTGTGATGCCAGATCATGAGTAAACATGGCAGGCTCATCGTGGCTCGGGGTATGACATGGTCTGCTGTCGATCGCCGCGTGGGGTAGGACATGGTCTGCTGTCCATCGCTGCATGGGGTAGGACATGGCCTGCTGTCCATCGCTGCATGGGGTATGACATGGCCCGCTATCCATCGCTGCGTGGGTTATGACATGGTCCGCTGTCCATTGCTACGTGGGGCATGACATGGTCCGCTGTCCATCGCTGCGTGGGTTTTGACGTGGTCCGCTGTCCATCGCTGCATGGGGGATGACATGGTCCGCTGTCCATCGCTGCGTGGGTTATGACATGGTCCGCTGTCCATCGTTGCGTGGGTTTTGACATGGTACGCTGTCCGCCTATACATTGGGTGAAGCAAGGGGGAACAACTCGGCAAAATGCTGGTAAGTCTTATTCGTTGAGTTAAAGAGGTGATGCCGAACTTCAAAGATTTGAGCCCTCCCTGTGACTGATTGCAGATAAATATTCGTACAATCCATTGGAAGGCCGCAGACCAGATTTTGTAAGATCAAGAGCATACCAGCTTGCGTTCTGTTAGCATTTTTGTAAGACCGGGGAATTTAAAACAACTTAAAGCTCCACCAAGGACTGCATTTCCTGGCCGTCCACACTTTCAGGTCTCCGTCAGCGCGCGTTAAGCGCTCGTAGCGTCACCTATATGTGGACTTCATATAGGTGGCGCTTGTGCTGTCGCTTCTTAAGGCGTCGCTAGGGGCTGGGCTATGATGCAGGCTGCCGCGCTGCGTACCGTTGACAATACAGGGGATATCATTTTCATGGCCGCAATTTCAAATGTAGATTATGCATGTTTTGGCGATGGTTCACAGCTGGCAGCACGAAGTGAAAACCTAGATGATGCTGCCGACAAGGATTATTTGTTCGAAACTTTCCCAGCGGGCTTCAAGACAGGAGTATCACTCTCCAGAAGTGATTACAGGGTAGCTTCAACAGTCGCTTTAGGCCTCTTGGGGTAGTTATTTTGCATCGTTGTGGTTCTGGGCTTTAATTAAGAACTGGTGCTAGCGCTTCCCAAAGTGTGCAAAATGGCAACTACAGTGTGTGCGACACAATGCTTTTACCATTGGCGGTGTGTCGCAGACAAGTATCTTCCGGTTTGAGCTGAGTAAGTCACATGAGACATTCGCACTTTTTCTGATGGTCTCACCAGCGCGGACGTTCCAATATAGCATAACACCACCAAAGCCGTCTGAACACTGTAGCCATGCCCCGACCTATTGACAATGGCTTCTGCTGTTGTCTCCCACGTGTGGAAACCGAAATCACGACATGAATGTAATGCGCCTGGTGTACATGGTCTTAACTAAAATGAATTTAGCTGGGCGACCCAAGCATGATCTAGGCCTGGATCAGCGGAGTGGGTTAGCATGTTGGCAATGTCATTTGTATTATGATGCCTTATATTTTTTATATTTGAAGTCACTCCCCTCTGAGTGCCTTTGGATCGACCAGACGGTCCGGACCCTTGTGTCATTAGAAAAGAGGCCGGCACCACGGCGTCATCATCCAGCCCTGTACTCTTTCTTACCAGAACTCTGGCTGCACCCCTGGGTTGTGGCATTCTCTTGGTGGTGAGCGTCCGGCACTAGGAGTGACAGTTACTCCCTGGTGATGGCAGCCCTGTTTTGGAGGTAAGGGCCTGCTCGTAGTGAGGACACCTCTTCCGATGATGATAGTTCGCCCACTCCTCGAAGACAGACCACGCCTGGTCCACGCCCGCCTGCACAATCCACTCCCGTCGTTGACTGTCTGCTGCTGCCGCCAGGCGGTGACACGCGGCAGCCGACGCCGCTGCCGCTGCTACGGTCCCTCCGGCACGTGCTCCCTGCGCACCTGCTGGCTGGACGCGCCCACCGCCTTCGTCAGCGTCGGCGACCGGCTGCAGCGGCAGCTGGCACGCTCGCAGCTGGTGGAGCTGGCGCCGAGCGGACGCGCGCTGCAGCTGGTCGGCTCGAGCGCGGCACCCGACCGCTCGCAGCTGGTGCACCTCGTGCCGTCGCCCAGCTACTGCGAGCCCGACGCGGAGAGCGGCTACAACGGCACGGCCGGCCGCCAGTGCCGCAAGCAACGGGCGCGTGAGTGACGGGAGCGGAGGGCGCGCCACTGACGGACTGCGCCGGCCCCGACCGAACGGCGACGTTCTCGCAGTGGTGGGGACGGGACGCGGCGTCGAGCAGAAAAGACGTATCGTGGGTTAGCTGGTGTATAGGTGCTGATATCGTTTAAGTAACTTTCATCTCATCTCGTCATTGGCTCGGCTACAATGTGATAACAGGCTATCGATTCGTCGCTGCGGCTGAAATTCTGAAGTGCGGCGTGGTCTACCCTTAGCTGTCGAGATTTTGTCTGGTTCTGTCTGCGTGTGGTGGTTTCCTGGCTTATGTGCAGCACATGGTGCCACGTCCTTGGTTTTGGGGCGGAGTGAGTGGCACGTTCAGCGAAGGCTTTACGCGTAGCGTGCTTGGTTTAAATCACGTAGCCTTAACCATGATCTTTTCAGTTCCAGGAAACTGCGAATACCTTTGCTGCGGCAGGGGGTATAACACGCGCATCACGCATCGACGGTATTGCTGTAACTTCCACACCAGTGCGGCCGAGCCCACTACGTGCCAGCAGCGAACAACAGTCAGAACTTGTCAGTGACAGAAGTGGAGTGGTTCATTTGTGCCGAGTGGGCGTTTGCCACTCAGCCAAGAGGTCAGTGATTTTGTGGTAGTGACAAAATATATGCCCGGCCACAAGATCCGGGCAGAGCGATGTACAGGATCCGGGGTTTTCTACATAACTATTTGGACTCGTGCACGTCAGACGCGTTTTGAAATGGTAAGCACCCGGATCCGGGATCCTTCGATGATATTATCTTCACTTGAGTCCCAGAGTATCCTTTAGAAGGCTACTAGTCAGAGATGGTGTTGAAGATGATGATCTTGAAGCCGAACGCAGTACCGATGTGACTGGCCGTCACTCAGTCAGCGCGGATGCACCAATGCTCAATAGATGGCGCGCAAAAGCGTGCTCTTCCGTGGCTCTTCGCGTGACCCGGTGAATGGCAATTTTGACTCTTCGTGTGGCCTAGTATATGTTAATTTTGTCTCTTCGTCTTTTTGTTCCTTTGTTTTCTTACGAAAACAAAGTCAAGGAAGATCCTGATCTCACGTGCAGCTAATCATGTCACCCTGTGGAAAATAGTAGTTCTAAACAAGGTTGTGATCGGTCGTTTTACGAGTGTGACGTAGGTGATTTGCTGTGCAGCAGCTGCTGGCTGTTTTCAAGCCTTGTTACGTGATCACTGTTCTTCGTCTATGTGATTAAACTGTTCACACGCTTTATGTGCCACTGTTCTGAGTGCGGACCAGAAGCATGAAGATATTCATTATGGAATTCGACGGACCAATTCTTTCCCTACCACACGGGCCTTAAACTCAGGCTGCCGTAGCCCTGCAGCTACTCTTCATTGTGCGATATTTATCTAGCCAACTTATTCCTTTCCCCAAGTCTCTGCTTTAAAATACAGCCTTTGGGTGACGTGCTAAACCATGGTACATCCACTGATGTACGTAAATTATCGGTAATATAACTTTCAGAGGTGTGCTGTTAATTCGCAGCCCCCTAAGGTAAAACAAGACGGTTGCGAGGTAGACCACTGCTTGACTGCGTGACTGTTGAACATCCACTAGGAGCAGCGAGCCGGCCAAAGATCGGAGGTAACTCTCCATTCTTCGGGTTTTTCTACGAAGAATTAGGCTATTACTACTGTCTTCTCTTTAACGCGTTGCGCTAGTTCAAAGTCAGCTACTGTCCGTTGATACAGCGATACGTGTTGGCGTACTTCATACATTAATATTTCAATGGCCTTGTTGTTCTTGCAGTTGAACACGATCTGGCCATTGAGAAGGCGAAATTTGAATGACGTTTATATGGCCTCATACATCTCTGGGTGACTTTAAATTCGCCGGCGCAGAACAGTCTGCACAAATTTGCATGCGTTTTGCTCAGTAATAAGAGGATTTGAAATTTTTACAGGGGCAAAACTGTGAACTGCAGTGGTTGCAGTCTTGAAAAATGGCTACCTCAGTTCGAAACCTCACACAAATGTGGAACTGAAACGTAAACTAGACTCTACGGAAAAACACGAGTCTCCATGTGTTAGAAGATAACAAAATGAGTAAATCAGGTGTTTAATTGCCTTAGTTAATTAGTGCGTATGAATTCAAAATGGACAGCATTACAGGTCATGTATGTACCCGTGATCTCACGACACAGACAACAGAGAGTAAGATTTCTGATAACGCATCTGGTCTTAAATTATCTGTTTTAATTTGAACGGCTGAACGTCCCATGTTTCAGCGAGGCCTCGTCAGCTGAGCAAATGGTCATCAGCGCCCTTCTGTTCCCTGAACATAATCAGAACATACCCCTGCATGCTATGAACACGTTCTCTCCATGCTTACACCAGTACATGGAATGCCGGGGCGGGTGCTCGGACGGTGGTGTCGTAATGAACTTTCTTAGGAGCCGGATCGCAGAGCTGGGAGCGTCCCCGGCCCTGGCCCGTCGGTGGAGTCCTTGGCTGCACCTAGCTAGCCGACGGATCATCATCGGAGCCATCTACCGGCCGTGGAGAGAACCAGCAGTCCCGGCCTCTAGCGAGTTCCGCCATCAGCTTGTCCATATTATCGCAAGAGACGAATCTACCTGGCATCAGGGTTATCAGCAACCCAGTTTCGACCGTCATTGACACAGCCCCATTTAATGTGCAAGGGGCAAGTCTGTGCAAGATACTGGTAAATTCGATGCTGGCCGGGCTTCAAGACATGCATGTCAAAGGGGACTTTCCACGTTTGAAGGCTTTGAAGCAAGGATCAGATGCGACGAAATAACCTCGCTAGTAACTATTGGTACACATGTGGCATTGAGAACCAATTAACGGCCGTCGTGTCTGGAAATCGCGCCCACGGACGACAGGTCTAAACGGCTAGACAATAATATTCTTCCTAACCTCGAACGCCGCCTAACCTAAGGTGCGGCAGGGTTCGAACGACGTTTGCTATGACGCCGTGCATGCTTGAATAGTTTTGAATCAGTCTTCCCGAAGGAGTCTAAGCATTTTCGCGGGCGTACACCTCAGAAACTAGAGGGATGTAGGTCTTACGAAGGGTAGGGCTGCGAATTGCACTGAATGACCCTCAATATGGCTACCTCATTTCAGAACCATACACAAATGTGGAGCACTGTCTTCAACTATATAGTGATTATACGGAAGTCTTAAAGTACCCAGCGAACGTCCATGGAAAGTCATGACCGAGTGCCAGACATGACTAACTGAAATCAAACGGCGCCAAACATAAGATATTCCTAGGTTTTGGGTGATATCGAGTTCCCGTGCTTTAACCCAGATTTTGACCTTGTAGGTTACATGATATTGCAAAATAAAGGTCATTTGGTGTGTTCTCATGCCGCAATTGACCTTGAGACCCTTTTCCAGAGAAATCGGAACTCGTCGCTGAAAAAATCGCTGGATAAATCGCTAACTTCACGGACATAAACATAAGCGCATGTCATCCGAATGTACGAGTGCCACGGTCTGAGGCGTACACAGGATTACAGAATGGGGCAGGAGAGCAAACTCAAAATTTTCGTTGAGAACCGAGTTGAGCGTGCCGCAGGTGCCACAGTTCTGGTGTGGCGCAAAACATCATGGCATGTTCCTGGTGTTCTTATTATGACGGGTCTGTCTGAGATTTTGTAACCGTCAACACTAATTTCCGTACATTTTGATAAACCGGCACCGCCGAGATTTTCTTAACACGCGCTCGGGTGTGGATCAAATTGACTCCCCCCCCCAAAGGTTTCTCCAAAATGGTTTCCGGACGGCGCGGCGTACCCGCGCCAAATTATGTATAGCTGTAGACAGTTGAATAGAGGATCGTCTGGCATCAAAAACTTAGATGCACCTTGTAAGGTCGTTGGATGTCAATCAGGCCATGGTTTCAGCGAAGGCATTGTCTAGGGAATCGTTCAATCTGATGCAACAACGGAATGTTAGACGAAGCCATGCATCTCTGAAGTGCTTTTTTACGTAACACAATAATTAAATGAGCAAATTACGTTGACCTAATGTCAGGTATGAAGGTTAGACCAAGATCAAAGCCAACCTGTTTTATTACTCTAGGGCTGACTGCATGAGAGAGTGCCTGGTGCTCATTTCGAATTTATTGATAGCAGGAACCGCATCCTAATCTTCCATGGATTTCTTAGAGTTCATGATATGTCATTGATCTAAAGTGAAGCAGGTCAACACTTTGTTTTTACAAACATACTGCACAGCGTAATCTTTGTCGCCAATTCAAATGCAAAACTCAAAGCCGTCTTGTCTGATTTTGGTCACCATGACCTTCAAGAGGTCAAACAATGTCACTGACCTTAAATGAGCATGTGACATTTTACTTAGAAACAGTTATCTAGGGTCCGAAGGCACTTTGGAGACCAACCTGGAATTTCACCTTGTTTGACCTTATTTGACCCAAAGGTCATGACCTGGGAACCTCAAGCTTTGACCTAACTGAGTTCACGTACAGGTTAACACACCCTGTAAGTTTGGTGTCTCTAGCTTTCTTATTTCCGGGATCTCAGGGGGGAGCTCAAATTGACTCCCCCATCCTAGCGAAAGGTATCCAGCTGGCCACCCGGGCGCGTGTTAAGGGAGGGAACCGCAGCTCGGTGAGCACACATAACGACGATTTCCGCCACTCCGTCACGAGCCATCTATGGTAAAAGTACGACAAATTCTAAGTTTAGGGCCCAGTGTCCCTGCTTCGGCCGCGCGCATCTGCGTTGTTTGATATGATTACTATGATTATTTCATATATGATTGTCACAAATATGATAATGGGAGAAGGGGGGCATGTGCCTCCGGGGCTATGATGTGCACACACCCCTGATTATACTAGGATGCCCACCCTCTTAGCCGCCAAAGAAGTCGTCAAGCCTGGCAACTATGTCGGCTCCATCTCACTAGGTCGTCGACGTGCCAGCTCATTGCCTGGGGCGCTGAGGTGCGCGCCTGTGGCTGTCAGCTCTGTTGCTGACGCACGCACATGAAACAAGCGCATCGATGGGCTTAAAGTGCTGCGAGGTCCCACCATGACCAGGTGTATGCGCGAAACATCGCCGTTTCAATAGCGATTACGTTAGGCCATTAATAGCGTGTGCACGCGTCACGCGCTACCAATGTAACTGTCTTGCAAAACTGTGTTCAGGTGCATCATCATGAGCTCAAACAAGGAAAAAATCGACAAATCGAGCTCCTTCCATTCCGTTCTGTTTTTTGGCGAAGGCCACCAGCTATGTGATGGGTGCAAGTCTTGCAACTCTTGATCTTGGGTCCGCCCGCAAGACTTAAGGCGTTCATAGACGCGGTGGGCTAAAATAAATTAATGCGCGAGACACCACCCGTCCAACGACACAACCCAGGCACTCGAACCACTTGCACGTGCGGGTTCAGCCAGTTGGCATCCTGCCCACGATGAAACCTGCCTGAACAAGGGGACGGGCGGGGGGGGGGGGGCGGTTGGCACTTTGCCACCTTGCGACACACGAAGAACGCGATCAGCCAGAGGCTCGTACGTGGGGCGGAGGCCATGCATGCACGCGGCTGCCGCGTACGCCGGGCCTCCCACCCACTCAGTTTACGACGCCCTTACCGTAGCGAGGCTGCTCTCGTTCGGCCGCCTCAGCGCGGCGCGCTGGCGGTCCAGAGCTCCCGTCCAAAACAAAGCACGCGTCTGACGAGCACTGCCGGTGCCGGTCACAGACGACGCCTTAATGGCGTCACGAAACTTTTACAGCATAGTACATTCATGGCTGAAATGAAGTCCTCACAGCGTTTCTCGGAAGACATTAGCGACATCAGCGTGCGCATCATGTATTAAGAAGATGGCATGCGTTGAAGCCACGAGGAAGCGTTTACATCCTCCGTGAACTTGTCCTCCGTCTCCCATCTACGCAACATCTACGGCGGCATAGTCTTACAAATCACAGCCACACGCCCGTTCGTTATAACACAAACCGCCGGTAAAATCAAAGACCAGAGTTCGCGGCGTCCTCCCGCCATACCGCCACCTCAGCCAGAACCAGGCCAGGTGACCTTGGTCGGCCGACAGCCCGCCAGATGGCAGCATTGTCTGACGCCGCACCTCTTCATGCACTCGGCGCACAAGGGGGGGGAACACTGTCGGTGCCGGCAACGGTATTGGAGCCGGGGTGGTTGCTGGTGGAGGGTGCTGCACGGCGGCCATCTTCGTCCCGAGCATCGGCGCGC